GCCGAAGGCTCGCTTCCATTTGGTCTTCAAGGGAACGGTACGTTGTTTTCATCAGAGAATCAATCCTTTTGGCCAAAAGAGTTGTCCAGAGATGCGGACAAATTGAGCAAAAGTCACACATTTATCGCATATAAGGCCAGTCAACACCAGTTAATTGTTTTGGTGAACGGAAAGCCTAACGGATTGATTTGTGTCAATGAATTCACAGCAGACACCGACTGGTCTCAGACCTGGAGCTGTACTCCAATTGATTCCGAGTGGATATATTCGGGTATATTCCTCATCAAAAACAATATCTATGTTTTGGGGGTTAAAGACAACGATAACCGATTATTTACGTACAATAATCACAATCTGATAGATACTAATATCAATCTTCAAAATTATTTGGGTTGTGGTGGCTCTGTGTCTGGTTTGGGTCCCGGATCTAATGTCAGATCAATTATGAACTCTGAAAAAGAAATAACTAATCGTAATGAAAGCTCTAACAAGTCTGGAAGTATAGCCATGTGGGCCATCATCTGTGTCTCATTAGTGGTGGCATTTGTTGCGAGTTCTGCTCTTTTCGTTGTTATAGCCGTCAGAAGAATCAAAAGAAAACCCAAACCCGAGGGAATAGAAATGCAATTTAATCCCAAACCAGTCGACAGGAAAGGGCGTCAAGTGAACGATGAAGACGTCGGTGCCATCGATTCAAAGATCAGTTGGAATATTAAGATTGATAATCAATCAGATGAATCACTTGATACCACTGTCAGCAAAGCACCGGCACCAGTAGCACCGACTAAACACCAGAACTCTTAATTTCATAAATTTAAACAGATTTTGTTAATTAATCCAAAAAATTTCAATTTGTTTTATGTATGAACTGAAAATAAAATTCTTTTACATAGTTTTATAATAAATGTTTAATTATATGTAAATTAAATAATTTTATTTTTATTGCATTTAATAAATAAATTTTGCACATTAAATATGAGTTATTTATTATTTAGCAATGATGTATTTAGTCATAATACTGTTCGTTATTGTTATCATCATAACCTTTTTGGTTGTCATAACCGATATGATTGTCATAATTGTTATGATTTGTATTATAATTGTTATGATTGTCATAATTCTGGTGATTGTTTTGATAATTATTGCCATAATGTGTGTTATGGTCATCGACTCCGTTATAGATGGCATCGGCCGAGTCATCATTAGTGGTTCCCATTTCATTGGTCTGTACCTGTGCTCTGAATCCAGTCTTATCAGCCTTATAGTGGACAACCCGTTTGCCTCCGTGACCATCGCTTAAACTATAAGAGCCGTAGACATTGCCGTAATTGTCTCCCTTCTCCTCCCGTGAATTTTCACCGCCGTATTTGTCTTTTATATTATAACCAAATTTATAATTCCCTGTAATATAAAATTGATGGATGAGTTATGTAACTTAACTTAAGTGGTAGTATATGGGGAATGCCGTCAATCATACCATGACCGTCCTGTTCTCTGAATGAATTGGAATATCCGCCGTCAGAATACGTGCAACTGATCACAGATATCACTGACAGTACACACAATACTTTAGCAAACATTTTAGTATAAGTTTTAGGAGGAATAAAGTTTTAGAAAATATAAGAAAAACTAAACAAATTGAATAAATATTAAAATTATGACAAAAAAAGAAAGTTTGTGCGCTTTTATATTGTATTTTACTTTCATTTCTTATCTATTCTTACAAATATTACAATATTTTTTCAATTACTTTGAATATGTTTTAGAAATCGATAATATTTTATTGAACCCTCATTACCATAATGTTCATATTTCATTGTTAATTACTAATTAGTCTAATATTTTAAATAACACTAACAGGTGTTTTAGATACATTGAAAATGATAACACATTTTGTGTTCATAATTATCTGATGATTAAAAAGCGGAAATTTTTTAAAATTCAAATTTTTACTAAAATTTTAGGAATGAATAAATTCGTGTTTCAAAACATGTGTTAATTTAGAAATATTTTTCAAAACTCTGTGAGAATATAGTTTCCTTCAAATATTATCTATGATATTCAAATTTTATCATTTGACAAGTTTTACTGAAGATTCACTTTTAATACATTTTTTATTATCTTTTATCAGATTATTGATGTGTTGAACGATAATTATATTAAGACTTATTCATTCAAAAAATGTTTTTGATTTGTAAAGATTTTTTCAATGCTAGACTTAAGGCCATAGGTTTAATAAATTGTCTTAAATTATTAATTAAATTCAAATCAATTGTTAAGTTTCTAACTTAAATATAATATTTTTTGTAATTTAAAAAGCAATGTTTTGATGGAAATATAAAGTTATTTTTAGAAACCTCTTACTTTTTAAAATTTCGGTACAATTTGTGAAATATTGTGAACAACATATTTATTTCACAAAATTATGTCATTCCCTGCCCTATGTTATGCATACGAATTAAACTACATTTGATTAGAAGTTAACATAATATATAACAAATAAACATTGATATGACATTGAATTTGTTTAGTGTTTTTATAAGTTTGCCATTTTTAAACACATATCTCTCAAAAACACACAAATATTTTTAAAAATAGAAAGTATTGATTTAAATTCTAATTAAATCAAACATTAAATCTTTTTATGACTAAATCCAGAAAATATTCTCATATTCCCTACATTTAACTAATACTCAATCAATCCTTGATATGTTTACTATAAGCCGGTATAGATATAATCGTGTGGTCGGTATTTAGAGGATACTTCT